TGTCGAATAGTTTATTCATATTTTCTAGATTTCTGGAAAGGTTGTGCCTCAAACCAAACATACGTACTTAATTCATCTTTGGTATTGATAGTATCAGGCTCACTTTCTTTTATTTTTTTCTCACACACTTAATTATGTAATCTCTCATTATAATTTCCACAACGTCTACATTCTGCTGTTCTCTGTTACGTTCACAGCACAGTTACCTAAACTATAGATTCGGTTTCTCGTTGGTTGTTCAATTCTGTACCACTCACAATGAAGCCTTAGGACGCCGAGGAATAGAACGCTTTTGTGGGAGACACCCAGGCGGTCACAGACACAGTCTTATACAAAACCCTTCCCACCTAGTTTTTGAAGCCTAATTTCTCATAAAATTCAGCGGTTTTCTTTCTCGCAATTTTCAGCACTTTTCTATAAGTTCCATCATATCACTTAAGCTAGTTACCCTAGAATTATCGTAAACTGTGCCTTCAAACTTTCATCTTCGACAGCTCTCCAAAAAAAAATAAACGTGACTATGCTCTCAAGGAGTTCGGGTATCGGTGACTGACAAATGTGACATAGTTACTTCGTATGTGTCCAGAACATGGAATCCTTTCCTGAGTTCCTTGGTTTTGCATTCGTGTATGGGGAGCGCTAGGTCGTGTTCGGTCCTTCTTGTGGGATGCGCCGCGCAAATTGCTTCTGTTGAAATTGTTGCTGGTCATTTGTTGCTTTTACGGTGTGACTTGCCTAGGTCACCTGATGTACAAGGCATCGTTTTTGCTCATATGTGATTAACAATGGCAAAATTGTATCACTATACTCAAAATGGTACCTGTTTAACATTTGGTCGAGTCGATTACCCCTAACCTACCTATAGGAAGAAGTACAGCTAAGGGTATGCTTGAGAAAAAAAGAGTTCTTGATCTGGTGTTACCCCGTGGAATCAGCTGTTGCTATATCCAAGACTCAGGCCACTTCTAGCTCGTGAAACAGTTACTGTGCTGTGGAAAGGCATGAAGGCATTCTTTGCTCGAAGTGAGCTGAGCATTCATGATACTTGTGCAGCTGCACTCGTTAAAGCTCCTACCGTCTGCAATTTTCCCTAACTTTCGCAATGGCCAGGGAATTATTTATGAACATTTCACATTATCTGCCTATGCTTTACCGGTCTTTCTCCTGGACTGGGTGGCTCATTCATCGCGTTCGCGAACTTATTGATTGATATGATATGATACTGATATTATCTGGGTCTAGATATAGCGTTTAAAGGCAATGTTCACGAACGAAATGGTTTCCGGGATTCCCCAGTAGGTGAGTTCGAAGTCCCTCCTGATATCATGTGTGCCGATACAGGTCGAGATACGTCCTGTATAGGGCACAATAAGGTGCCAGAAATTGTATCGTGTGAATGCCACACCCACAGCGGACGAGTTTGATGTAGAAACTGCACAACCTCAAGGAAATCCATGCTGGAAGTTTGAACAATTTGTCATGACACAGTAGAAAGCAGTTTCAGACAATTTGACTTGATGTAGTCAGCTCTTGGCGGAATTGTAACGACTGGAATCTCGTCCAAATACCCCTTCTATGACATTTCCGTCACGGTAATCTCGTACAACCTCCATATTCACTACTTTTGGAAAGCCTTATTTTTCGCGAAATAGAGGATTCTCTGGATTACTTCGCCACTAATGCACTACTCTACTTCAACACTTCCTCTTTTCAACTCAAAATGGGTGCCTCAAAATTATTGGGAACTGTGCCTTTAAGTGGCAGCTCACAATAGAAATGAAGTTTATTTTCAGGTAGAATCGGCAATAGTGTACATGGCACTTGTGTACTGGCTTGTGCAGTCCTTCACGAAATTGCGGCCACAAACGCTCTTGGCTCCCTGAAGGTATATTTTATGGTGATCTTGCATTTTCAAAAAATTGTCCTCGCCATTGAACACTACTTCTGCTTGACTGCTAATCGGTTAAACTCATCAGAATTCTTTTTTTCCAAATGTTTTGTGAGGCAATTATTTAGCTCTTCTAACGGCTCAAGATTAGTCGATTCCGTAATGAAAGCACCTACATTTCCTATTCGTTATTTTTGAACGCTGTGCCCTTTTTTTCTGAGCCATCTAGGTTTTATTTCCATTCACAGTCTAGAATTCAAAGTTTGCGATGACTCGCTTCTCAATTCCTCTGCCATTGTTACCTGAACAACTGGATTAGCCAACATATACTCTTTCAAAGGCACAGTTCACATTAAGAATGGTTTCTGAGAGATCCCTCTGGGATGAATTTGTAGCCCACCTGTGCGGCATATGTGTTGTTGTAAGATCGAAAAAAGGCATGGATAGTGCGTTTTTAGGGCTCAAAGATAGTATCGGTTGTATGCCACACCAAAGGCCGCCCAGCTTTAAGGCACTATTCACAAGGGACACCCATGTTGGAAGTCCTACTTGTCGGGATCCATGGCTGCAGTAGGAGGCGATTTTAGGGAATTTTGACTTGATGTAGTCAGGTCTTTGCGGAACTGGAACAACTGAAATCTCGTCCGAATACATCTTTCACCAGCTCTGTCATGATAATCTCATACAACCTCTATTTTCACTACTTTTAGGAAGCCTTTTTCTCACCCACTCGACAGGTTTTCTTACGATGGTCTTTCTCCGACACCGATGCACTACTCCCAACCAATACTTCCGGTTTTTGACCCCCAAAGGCTACCTCAAAATTATGGTGAACTGTGCCTTTAACCTTCACTTGATTACTGGAGGAGTGGACGTTATCTGAGTGCGGCTAGGGATAAAGACCTTTCTCAGCTTTTCCAATAGTGGTAACTGCATGGTCTCCTGAACGGAAATTCCTTTATACACATAATGGACCAACCGTATACCAATGTCTAAATAGATTTAGGTAGCAGGTACATCTTAGACCTCGGTTTTTGACATATTTATGATTGAGCCTCGATTAATTGGCAAAGTCGAGGTTTTTAGGAAGTGCGGTTCGTCGACGTTAAAGAGTCCATCGAAAGAGAATTTGTTGTGCAGTTACAAGCGATATTCGGTAAGTAATAATCATTTTGCCTTTACGTTCATATTTCTTTTTTCAACGATACAACTACGGCATGTTTCCAGGGACACCCAAGACCGAGAATGCTGCGACGGCCGACCTCAACGGTGGAATTTGGAGTTATGCTAAGCGAGTTAACGAGGTTTGTTCATCATGTTTTTAGGTTCTATGCACTGCTGTAAAATCTTTTTTAAACTGGTACAAATTAGGTGTTGTGAGAGAATTTGCTCTGAGAGTAAGAGCGGTTGCCTAATAACAGAATGTAGTGTGTGGTATGATCTCGTTTCTCAAGTATGTCAAGCACTTCTGATCTACTGCGGACGTGTGCATAAGTGTGGAGTACAGCGACCATCCAAACAGATTTTGTCAGAACGTTGATGCCTTTTGTGTACTGATGCTCGGCACGTCGGCACTGTTAGTGTAAGTACATGTACTGAGTGGGATAGCTTCAAAAAAAAAAAAGCAGAGTTATAGGATCCGCGTGAAAACTGATGGTCGGGGGTCCCAGTAATAACCCTTCATCAAAATGATGTAACTTCGCTTTGCTGAATCATGAGTTCCCACATGAACAAAAGGGTCTTCGGCATTAGTGTTCCCAAATCATCTTCCGAGCTTTTCGAGGGAAGTTTTTATACAAATTAATGTTCCCTATTCTGAAAAAGTGTAGCTAANTAAGTCGCAGACCATGACTACTGGTGACAAATACGTTTTCCTGCTTCTTGCGATTGATTCTTCCTAGAAAGACAAGAGCGAGAGCACATTCGTTAAGTTGGAATAATCGAAGGCAGCCTAAATTGCCTGCCTTTAGTGCGAGGACCCATTCTTTACATTGGATCAGTTAATGTTTTAGGTTGAGTCATAAGTTTTTGGACAAAGTGATAGAGATGAGTTCTAGAGATCATGACTCGGGAAAGAGGTGACGAAAATGGGCAGGCGTGGCATCATTAGATAGAGTATGAAAAGATCTTCCAAACATATACTAACGAACACACCTAGATGTTTCCTCTTTCCCTGCAACTATGTGCCATGATTTCAAGCCGTCGCAACTCCTCCTCCGCAACACCATCCTATTTCTTTTTTTATCTGGTCAAAAACCCGCGGCAATCGATTGACGTATGAAGGAAGTTTACAAGGAGGAAACCCTGCTAGAAGTAGAATTTACAAGTGGCACTCGAAGTTCGCTTCGGACGACTATTCCATCGAAGATGAGGACCATCCGGGAGGCCCAATGAAGTTGGATTTGGACGTGCTGAGGAGCCAGGTGGAAGGCGTTCCGTACCAAAGTACTCGTGAACTGGCAGTCACTCTCGGGGAGTCAGCCCACAGTTACTCGTGGATTGAAGTCGATCGGCAAGGTGCAAAAGCTCGGTTGATGGGTGCCTCATGCTTTGAAGCGGTATGACATGGACTGCCGCGCCGACATGACACTTTCTCGATCATGTGTATTTGTTAGTAGTGTAGGTATTTGTTAGTTAGTATATTTGGAAGAGCTTTTTATACTCTATCTAACGATGCCTCGCGCATCCATTATCGTCACCTCTTTCCCGAGTTATGATCTCTAGAAGTCATCACTATCACATTATCCGAGGGCTTATGACTCAACCTAATATTTCATGCTATGATTGTGTTGCTGCGGGAGAAAGAAACTGAAGCGCGCTCATTGCACTCGATCGCGCGCTATGAAGGGAAAGGTATGAATTCTAAGTGGCTGCCATCGAGCGAGCGAGCGAGCGGGCGGCGGACTATGAAAGCAGCCAGTGGAAGGATATGGTAGTCGCCGCAGAACCACTGCCGCTTGCTGCGAGAGTCTGGGGAGAAATACCGCCAAACCTTTACTGTCAATTCTAGAAAGGAAAGCGTGCCCTTAAGAATACATCACAACTGATGTTCTTTAGAAAGCCTCAGAGAAATCCTGGACTGGAGTTTCCTAAACAACTTTGCGTGCCGCCATCGATGCGCTCGCGAAGCGTCTTCGAGCTATGACATAAAGAGCTTGTGCAGGATGTGGTCATATCGGATGACCGCACGTTCATTTTGCACAGTCGTGTTGTCCCCATATCTACGCCACCACCTATGGTTATATTTAAATTTTTTTTTTCGAAATCTTGAACAGTCTTGTAAGATACCTCTTCCGTCATCCCCTTAAGTGGTCTTCACGCCCTTGGGTGATCTCAAAATCCCGTTCAAGGCAGGAGGTTCTTTATTTTGAAACTGTAATGTTTCTCTACTATTAATATCAAAAGGCTTTGAACTGTATTTTTGATTGGTCATGTAAATGGAATTTGCCTCTTGCACCGGAGAAAACATTTACATGAGAATTGGTTCTTCCACTGGTATTCCAAATAACTATTGTCTTGATAATCATGTCCTTACT